TTTACTGCACACAAGCAACGGTTAATATTATTTTTATCACTCCTGCACACGAATGGTGTTGAACATTCTTCATTTCCAGTAGTACATACCATACTATGGGATTTTTCTAAAATAAAATACATATTATCAAAAATACTTTTATTCATGTTTATTTATCAAAACATTAAAAGCTATTTGATTTTATCACTTGTCTTCCAGCGGTAAATGTTCTTATTTTAAGTATTCTAATATTTTGTTTGTATATAGTAGGATTCAACTCTTTACCAAGAAAATGTTTTGATAATTCTTTAACAAAATCATAATAAAAGCATGAAAAAAAAATAGCTTTACAGTGCTAAAAAATCATATCTTTTCACAATACTACTAAAAACATTCGTTGATTAATGTAATGAGAAGATTTTTTAAATGAGCAAAACGTTTAAGGTAAATTATAATTAATGTTCTACAGTCTGTTTTTCGTCCCTGAAAGTTTTAAAAATTATTTTAAAGGTGTCATATAGGTTTTAATTTCTATTAGTATTTAAGTAGTGTAAAAATATAGCAAGCAGTGGGTTCATTAAAAAGTTCAAGCCAAATTAAAAAAACAAATCACTTGGATAACAAGAATCACCAGTAAGATACTGGTAACTTATACAGCCACAAAGAGCATTAACGCAGGTTATGTTGGATTTACATTGGTCAGGAGAAGAGCATGAACCATTGGAGGATAATTCTTTAACAAAATCACAATAAAAGCATGAAAAATAATTAGCTTTACAGTGCTTAAAAATATACTTTAACAATACTAATAAAAACATTTGTTGATTAATGTAATGAAAAGATTTCTTAAATGAGCAAAACTTATAAAGTAAATTGTAATTAATGTTCCTTGATTTGTATTTTCGTCCCTGAAGAAATTTATTATTTTATGTGTGTCATATAGGTTTTAATTTCTATTAGTATTTAAGAAGTGTAAAAATATAGCAAGCAGTGGGTTTATTAATTTTTCAGTCTTTGCAGTAGTAAACCCAATATTTGTAGGTATTATTGTTATTTTGAACAAGCTTTCACTTATTGCTTATTTTATAGCACATATTTGTTGATAACACTATTTAAAACGAACGTAGGCGCTATCGCGCTCACAGGAGAACCCTGGGCGCCAAATTGCAAACAACCTGGGCGCCACCCTTGCGAAATGGATTTTATTTTTCACAAAAATCTCCCCACGAGTATTCTCAACGACTTTCCAAAGTTTTATGGCGATCGTATAAAATTTGTAGCAATGCATAAAATACAAATAAAGTCTGACGAAATATATACATTTAAATAACTCAAAAATTAGAAAACAAGGTCTAAGAATAGATGACTGGTAAAGTAATTATGAAACCCTCCTAATATATTTCGTCAGACTTTAATTTTCTTTTATGCACTACTACACCTTTCATCCGATCGCCATGAAACTTTGGAATGTTGTTGAGAATACTCCAAGGAAAACAAAATTTTACACGGGTGGCACACCAGCAAGGTGCAATTTTTCGCCCCAGATAATCCCGTGAGCACTATGACGCCTACGTTCAAGGCTTTCATACACCACACCCTGGGGCGTACTGTGCTGTAGTGTGGTGAAACCCGTGCACAGAAAAATATGATCCAAGAAATACAGCGCAGGCATTGTTTACATTTAAATAACTCAGCTTTAGTAAATAAGGTCACGCGTCTAAGAATATGGGATTAGTAACGCATTGATGATACCCACTTAAATTATTGCGTGAGACTTACGTCTAAAAGCTCGACAATGCTCAGGGACGGGTATGCTAGTAACTTATGTTCGAAAGTTATCCCTTCGAAAAAATAGTTATCTGACTAGGGCGCATAAAATAAAGTTCTAAAAGAAAAAGCTTAACATTCGTGCTTAAAATGTAAAAAGAATTCTAATAGAATTTAATTTATTTTATTGATGTGATAAAATATAATCACAACTAGATATGAATACACAGAGTCAAATGATGTATTAAATAAAACATTACCCAGGCATGTTCCCGAATCACACGAATGACAGCATGACTGATAAAGTAAAAAGTAAAAAGTAAAAATATAAATTATATTATCGAATGTGTAGATCTAGGCCTCTAATAATATGAATAACTAAATTACTGATTATTTTACTAACAAAGACAAGGAATAAAGTATCGATTGAATGTTAAATGTTAAACAAAATTAAAAGTTCCGAAACTCACACATCCAATGAATTTCAGAAAAAAAAGAAGTATACAAAAGTATATATAGAGCGTCTGAAGACTCCAAGTTGTAGTATGAATGTTTATAATTCTAAATTCAAAATATATAAAAAACACTTACCATGAGATACAAAAAAATAACGATGATGCATAAGGTTGAGGTGGTGAAAATGTGATCGTAGTTGTTGAAGGCCATAATGCAATGGCAAAATCAAACTACTACTTGTTTCTATAAAATTTCAGCAGTTTGATTCAAAGTGTAGTTAAACGGTCTCAAAGCAGTAGCAGTTGTCGTTTTCTATCGTGGTAAGATGATATAGATCTTTAGCTATAGCTATAAGTAACATTGGCAATAAATGGAAAAAGATGGAGTTGCAACAAGCATATATCTCTTTATATGATACGTGGCAGTTTAGTTTGGGTGCATATCAGGTGTGTGCTGTTATTGTGAAATGATACTATTTATTTCTCCCTAGAATCTTGCTTTCCTTACCGAAGGTATTTTATAACTACACCAAGCTTATCACAAATACTCAAAACATAAAACTGATAAAAATATGTGTTGTAAAATGGTATAATTGTTATAAGTTTATACAAAGGGATTCTGGTCATTATTTACTTGGTTCTTAAAATTGATCGGTACAGATTCCTCTTCACCTCTAATGCTTGCTGTAGGATATTTTACTGGTCGGATAATTAATTCACACTTTTTACTACTAAATCAATTGGATTCAGAAAACAACAGTCTATTTTCTTAATCGCAACTGTGTATAATTCAGTTATGCAGTTCAAAAAGAGTTCCCCACCCTCTACCCTCTTTATAGCCACCTAAGTGACGGCACGACTACATCCAGCTACACATTAGTTTCTATGTGTATTTGAATCAGGCCTTTGTGCAGATCTTTTATGGAAGATAACACTATCCCCTTCCAAAAATAAATATGAAAATAAACTAATTGGTACACACAAAAGCGGATTATGATCGTTATTTTAATGATCTTTTAAAAATAGTTTTAGAATAAACTATTATTATTGTTTATAATCGATCTCTCTAACTGGTACATTCAGGATTTTAATTGAAATAGATGTTTGTTCTCTATTTAAATAAGACGAGAAAATGAAACTATCAACGATTCCTTACTTTAATCATTACTTGACTTTTATCGATTGTTCATCTTGCTGTACTTGAAACATGACCTTGCTACAGGTTTAAAAGAAGTCTTATGAGAATAGCACGTATATATACTTCAGTTTTGATTTATAGATTGAGAACATTGCCAGAATGAATTGGTTTTTGGAATTCAGATTTCAACATTGTTCTAAGTAAAAACATCTGTGACATTTTTTTTGGCTTTAGATTTTGAAAACCTTCATTACATGTGTAGGCCTACTTGGCGCATCAAGCGGTAAAAATCGATACTTAAGTTCTGATACCCACACTAACAAAATTTAGCCTTAATAGTTATTTAAATTGTATAGGGACTTACCTTTGGTAAATAAGCCTTCTCTTAATTACAAAGGCCAGCACATATTGTTTTCTGATAAATGTCACGACTCGAGAAAAATGCTTTGTTACTTTAGAAAAACTTTGAGGTTCAAAACTTTTAAAACAGCTATACTACCCAAGTCGCTTTAATTTTGTTGTGTGTAATCTGCTTATATATTTCAGATACAGATAAGTCGTACCGGAGTACGAAAAATTTCATTTCACTGCAACCGATTTGAACGTGAATGTAGAAAACTTTAGATCAATTTTTTAAATACTCTCGCTGGTAGTGTTCTGTCGTTGTTATATCCCTTTAAAAAAAAACAGCAACTGAGAGCTTAAAAAAATAATACTTGATTTTCTTCAAAACATTATATAGAGGTCTGGGGTTAAGTTCTTGACGTTTATAAGGAGATAGAGAGGTGAGGGAAAGCGGACGATTACTTATTTCAACAAGTTTGTTTTCATTTGTTAATTTTATGTAAAAGAAGGTATATAAAAATGTTGCACCTTTACGAATAATATAACATTTATGAACACGTCTATTAGTTTTATATCACAATTAGTCTGGATTATTTATTAAAGTATGCTTAAGCCTCCTATATTTTTTAAAAATAAAACAGAAACTGTAAAATATCTTACAGCACAGTCTGTTATCAGTAGGCCTACTTGATGAATGAACATTGTGACAAGGGACAGCAGTCGAGTGACTTACAACACACATTAGACTCCCTTCATGTACACTTGTTATCTTAAACTGAGTGGTTTCCCCTGGGTAGTTGTGTGTACAGTGCACACCTAAACCAGGAAGCAGCCAGTGTAAATCTTGTCTTTGAGTTGCCCGATGAAACAACATACATAACCTAGCTAAACTAATGCACTGAATACACAGGTGCGATAGTGTAGACTGTAGAAGGTTTTAAAAATAGCTAACAAGGAAGTGATATTCAAAATAGTCTTGTGGATCTCAGTGATTTATAAATGAAACAGCTCACTTATTTTATAGCAGTATTAGATGTAGTAATTAGCTTGTCGTCCAATTAAGAGACTGAAAACAACCTTTGCACCAAATTCGATTCTGAGCTATTTTCAGCGGTAACCAACCGACATTAACAACAATTGCAAAATACAAAAAAATAAATAAAAAACTTTCTTATTTTAAAATCATTGTAATTAAAAAAACATACATTTCTAGTATAAGTGATTTTATTATATTAAACATTGGTGACCCAAAAATTTAGCGACACAGAGGGAAAGGCAGAATTTTCAGCCCAGATCTCGTTAGCAGGAAATTACATGAAAATGATATTTTTTCATTTTTCAAACGAAAGTAATAATTTAAATCGATTTCTCTAAAACATTAATTAAAAGCTAGTTAACTTACTTTATATGACATTTGGTTTCTGCTAATAATAAAATTTAATTTATTTAATATGTTTAATTAAGGTGGTTTAAAAAAAATATTTGATATAGTTATAATATTAATACTTAATATTATGTATATATATATATATATATATATATATATATATATATATATATATATATATATATATATATATATATATATATATATATATATACGTTATTGTCAGAGCCCGTAGTGCGACCAAAGAATGTATTTGCCGGCTCGCTTAGCAAAGCTCGAAAAACTTAGTACTGACAGCGTTTTTCAGACATTGGCCGACTAATATGCGCACCGTCCAATATCGGCTCCACTATGATTGCATTTTTATCATTCTGGCCGCAGCTTCATTGTATGTAATGTATAACTCGGCTCATGTGTGTAGTATATTGTATATACAATGCGACATGGAACAAACGGGCCGTCAAACTATTAGGCAGACTGGCAACACCCCCCCCCCACACACCTATCTTAGTTTCCAAAAACAGTATAATAGGGCTACTATTGTATGTTACAGCATCTTCTATGCTGATGTGACCTACCTAGGTCTGGTAATGTTTTATTTTTACATTTTGTTATAATACCATATATGGTTTGTGGTGCAATGACCGGTTTTTTCCGCTGTCTTACCAAGAGAGTCTTAGACTCAGAAATTTTCCATCAAGATCTGATTGATTGATTCAGACCAGATGATCACCCCAACCAATGGCCATATGAGTTGAAGGTGACCTTCCATGTTGCCTAAGTCTATAAATAGACTGCGCACAGGCGTCTCGAGGCAATTACTTGACCAGACGTCGTTGATCAGACATAAGCCCTGTGTGTTGCCGTTTAGTACTAATACTAAGTTGTTAAGTAGCATAACCATATATTACTTGTGGTGAAGTAATTCTTTATGCTTATAGCAGTGTTGTGTATACGGTGGTGATTTTTCTGAAGTGTTAAAAGCTGTGATAGTGTATCATATTGTTATTTCCCACACATTGTAAGTTGGGTTTTGATCATTCTGTAAATCCATTTTATTCTTGTATAAATCTAGTGTTCTGCCACGACTTTGTACTCTTATTACAAGTTATATGCAGATTAAATGTATTGTTGGCATCAGTAGTTTCTCTAGTGTTTCCCCTAGACATTAAGTACGAGTCCTAGTAAAATTACTGTGTTGGCTTTCTTTTATTTAGGCTTGTCGCCATCTGTGTGTAATCAGTTAAACGAATCCGGGAGCGTTCGCCATCTATCTGGCTGATAGATTGGTGTCCGTTACACTGACAAGGTGAGACAATCTTCAAGGGAAAAAATCAAAGACCGTCAGCGTCACCGTCTACGTGCAACAAGATGTAACTTTCAAAAGACATCGCCGCGGTGGATGGTTACCTTGTGAGGTATGAGTCTGTGTGTGGGTGTATAAGTTTATGCTTTTGAGTGTATGAGTGTGTGTGACTGTGTGTACAAACGCTGTGAGGTTTGAGTGTGTGTGTGAGTGTGTGTGACAAAGTGTATAAGTTTATGTGTATGAATGTGTGTGAGTGTATGTGAGTGTGTGTGAGTGTGAGTACAAACGCTGTGAGGTTTGTGTGTGAGTGTGTGTGAAAAGTGTATAAGTTTATGTGTATGAGTGTGTGTGAGTGTACAAACGCTGTGAGATTTGAGTGTGTGTGAGTGTGTGTGTATGAGTGTATACTTTTATGTTTATGAGTGTATGAGTGTGTGTGAGTCGCTTTATTATAAAACATCAATACTAAATGCTAAAAATTGTAGTTGAAAACAAACGCTTGCAACCTTTTTTCAAATGAACCCCTAAAGTTTTGAACATTTTTTGTGAAAGAAATGTAAAGACACTCAAGTGAAGTATTAAAAAAATCAAAAACAAAATTCTAGCATGTTTTTACCATTTTGTGAACTTTTATTTTTGTTTGCAAAAACCTGAAAAACGTTCATAGACCATATAACTTTATATTACTTCTAAATAACTGTGAAAACTAAGGGATAATAATTATAATGCTTATCATGAAGGGGAAAGTTGTGATTTATCAGTTTATAATGTTTAGGACTGCGGTATTACCAAGAAATTTTATTTTATCAATAGAAGAAATTGGCTGAAGTAGACTACTATTTTATTTTTACTTACCAAGATTCTTAGAGTTTGGAAAGTCTGCAAATGTGTATGTTATTTATCTTAAAAATTATACCAATATACTACCACACAGTTTTATAGCTTTTCTATTTTCATGAAAAACATTAAGAAAATAAATATTTACTTTGAAATATTCAATGGAAAAGCTAGCACATATAGAACAATAACAAATACAACCCCTTATTGTTTAAACCTTAGAGGAAAAAAATCATAAAAATCGTTTTAATAACAAGCTTTTATGTAATAATGCACTAAAAAGTAGAAAATAAATTATACACTACTATTTAAATAACTATAAAGAAAAGCGTGGTTCACTTTAGTATCTATTGAATACCTTTACTAATATTTAGGAAGAGACCCACGCTTTTATTTGTAGTTATTTAAATAGTAGTGTATAATTTTTTTTTCTCCTTTTTAGTGCATTATTACATAAAAACGTTTTTTTTATTAAATCGTTTTTTTATTACATTTGTTTTAGTACCTTACATGTTTTTATTTGCAATATAGTTGCATCACTAAAAACCATTGCGCGCCTATTGAACGTGATGACGCGCTATTGAACGTGATGGCGCGTGTGGAGTAATTAGATAGAACTGCCTACTAATGTGGTCAAATTTTTAATTAATTCATAAAAATATAATCAGGCGACCGATTAAGTCAAATTGAATGTCATGATGCATTGTCTTCATGTCTTGACCCACATACCAATTACGAACCGATTCTGTCAGTTAGTAGTGCCTTCATTTTCGCTCGGGCATTTCAATCTAGACAGGCAGACTAACGACTGACGATTGACGAGGAAGTGAGTTACATAAAAGCTTGTAAAAATATTTAAAAAACGCACTTAAAGTGTCATTTTCCAAGTATTATTTCCGCTTTTTACATGTTTAACTTATAAAACGAAATCTAATTTCCTCTTAGAAAGCCTTCAAAAAACATATTTAAGCTAAACTAGTTCGTCCCTCGTGTTGAAATATTTTTTTTAAATTCATAAAAACATTTTAATAACAAGCTTTTGAGCTAAAAAAAAAGAAAGTAATGATTTTCATTTAATATAATAATGAACTTCTATTTAAATAACTAAAACAATAAAGTCAAATTTGATGTCAGATTCCATCGTCATCGGGTTTTGACCAAAGTGCCAAGATTCAGAGAAATCTGTCGGTTAGAAGTGATCGAAATGATGCCTAGTATGCGGTTGGGAGTAATACAGGCTTCAGTCTAGACTTTTGCCAACTAATACGAAGATCAGGTTTGATTTGGTTTTGTCTTATAAAAAATATATTGTTAAAGTTGACAGCGTTGGACACAAGATTGTTATTTAATAAAAAATTTAATGAACATATTTTGTCATTGATAATTTATTTAGGGGTGGGTGGGGGCTCCTCTCGAACATCTACCGCCCCCTCGAAAGAAATATAATCTACATAGAAAATATACACAAGAGAGATACTTGGCGGGTCTCAAAAAGGAGCAGAGAGAAAAAATATAGACCTTCATGAACACATGGCTTAGACAGATTTTGAAATTGAGGTTGCAGTACAAAGTGAGGACTATAGACGGAATATAGACAGGAACCTAGTACAGTACAATTAAGAAGAAGAAAGTGGCGATGGGTGGGACACACACTGCGAAAGGTCACTTATATGTGACACGATAACCCAGAGAAAGCAAAAGAGGAGGCTGCAATAGTAGTTGTCGCATTGTTATAAAAATTACGGTGAAATCACCTATGATAGCTTGGTAGACTATGTGGCTATTTGTCTATGGTCAACATTGGCAAATGTCATCAAAGGGATACACTGATCAATATTGTTTTAGTAGATTCAGATGAAAAAAACTGATGCAAAAAGTGCTATTGTAATGTTTGGGCATTCTATACAACTAGCCGTCGGTTAACCGTTACACGTGAATTATAGGCCTATATATGTTAATGTTATGCTTGTTTGAGAAAATATTTAATAAAAAAAACTTATTAGTTTAGTATAAAAACTCATTATTGGCATAGATTCTAGATAGAGCTAGAGTCTAGATCTAGAATCTAAGGCTGGCTTAAGTCTAGTTTTTCCGTAGATCTAATTCAGTGTTTCTTCCTGACTTTTTTTTCCGAAGGGGGAGCGGGGGCACTTACAATTTTCAAAGGGGGGGGGGGGGGAGGACTAAAATTTCCGGAAGGGGGAAGGGCGGACTCTGTTAAAAGTATATATTTTCTATAAAAATTTCATTTTATTCTGTTAGACTTTCTTTGGAGCCCCCCCCCCCCCCGAAACGATGCCTTGATGAAACTATTCTCTATATCTAGATCTAGATTTTAAATAGATAAAGTAAATTTTAAATTTTTTTAAATGGAAGATGACGCCACCAGTTTTGTGTTCTTTCATTAGTTTAAACATGTGCCATGTGACGTCATTGTTTATTGCGTTCTTGTCACGACAACCTACATTTTTAGTTAGAATTAATGTGTTTCCACATTCAAATATGCCTTTATTTTTATTTTTCTTCTTTAAATAACATTTAGTTTATACATTTATAACATCCACCATATTATTTTCAACAAAAGTCCGTATCTTTAAGTTCTTCATATAGCGCTGAACATACTGAAGACATTGCCAAAAAATATTGCGGACACAGAGAGAGAGAGAGAGAGAGAGAGAGAGAGAGAGAGAGAGAGACAGACAGAGACAGAGACAGAGAGACATAGAGAGAGAAGTGCTCACATGGGTTTTTATATATTAGGATACCTGGTCTGTAATGTAAATAAGACTAAAAATTTTGGGCAGTGAAAGACTAAAGGTAATATTTTCAACACCTTTCCCCCATTTTGTAACTCTACCACCCAAATCTATTAGTGACCCCACCTCCATTACACTGTCCCGCATCTTAGGCCTCATTCATTAATTAAAACTCTGTGTTATATTGATGTATGTGGTTATGTTAAAAATAAGATTAAACATGGACGCAATTTAAAGATAAAAAATTGCTGCTATTGAATTTATTTTGTTTCTACAAAACACACAAATACAAATATAATTCTTACTAATGAAATAAATACACGTCTTTTATATAAATTACAAACATGTACATTAAAAAAAAAGTAATAATAAATATTCTTATTTTAGAAATCAACAAAAATGATGAACAAAATCATAATTTCTATTGTCTGAAACAAAGAGATGAAGAAATACTGAGGTCATAAAACATGCGTTTAACAAGAATATCAGGATGTTTAAACATCACTGGATAAAACACAATGACAAAAAGAGAAAACCTTTATTTATTTATTGTTTTGGATATTTTATTAAGTCATCTTTTTTTTTTACTTTTAATATGTGTTAGAGAGAATAGTTTTAGGAGATTATGGGCATATTATGCAATTTTAAACATTTCATTTTAATATCTGAAAATTCATTCACCTAATTTTTAATCAATTCCAAAAACAGTAGGCCCTATAATAAGACATTTTATTTTCATTAACTTAATGATAAGTACTTTTTAGTTTTAGCAGCTTTCACAAGAAACCGCAATACTTATCTATACACACATCATTTTTCAAAACTACATGCAATAAAAAAATAATAGTTTTTGTCTTGAGGAATGAATTTGTTGTCAGTTTACTTTTTTGAACTGCACTTTTAACATGTGGATACATCTTAAATCTTGCAAAAGCTTAATTAATGTAGTCGGGTATTTCATCATAGACATCTCCATTTCTTGCTGGCTGGCTGACTTGATCTGGTTCACTGATAACTGGGGTCATGTTTTCTGTTTTACAACAGAAAAGATCATTTTAAGATTTTAAATTAAGATATTTTGTAGAATTATGAATTCTTTCAGTCACTACCATTTCAAAATTTTCTTGACATAATGTTTATCAAGTACACAAATCCTTTTGAGTCAACTTTAGTTAATATGAAATATGTCTTTGTATTAGGCGCATTTCAAATAAGACCATATATTTTATATGTTGTAAATTACCACTTCATTTACTATAAGAGATTTAATTTGATATGATTCCATTTCTTGAATAAGATATGGGCTATATCTAGCGCATAAAAGAGACAATCAATAAGATTTCAAAATTTCCAAATTTCAAACAGTTTTACAAACATACCATTAGACACACCATAAAGGTGATCATCTTGAAAAGTTCTGCTTGGTGTGTTGTAGCGAGGTTCTTGTCTCCTCATAGCTTCTAACTTCTTGTTTCTGAGGTGTCGATTTATACATATAGCAGCAACAATGATTATAATAATAATACATGGAAGTCCAATTCCTAAACCAATGGCTAGTGCTGTGTAGTTTACCTCTTCACCTGCTGATAAGGGTTAAATAAGACTTTAAAGGTTCGGGAAATTTCAATTGAATAGAAATAAAGAACAAGTTCTTTTAAATAAAAAAAACGGGAAATAAATTGAATAAAACCGTAATGGAACAAAACATTAGCATTGAAAGATAATGAAAATTTAGAAATTGATACTTATAGATAAGAGGGATATACTTAGGGTTAGGGACACGGTTTGGGATAAGGATAGGAAAAGGACTAAAGATAGGCCAATATGGTTAGGTAAATAGATAGGAAGCTAGATTAGTTGACGAGGAGGGTTAAAATGAAATGATCGGAGGATTAAATAATCAAGCGGTTGGATGTCCAAAACCCGGGCGTAAAGGTTGGAAATGCAAACAAAATTTTGACAAACTGCAAATAAATTCAGAATAAAATTATTTTGATTATATAAGACAGTCAAAAACAACAGGAATAGCTAGAGACCAGCAGGATAATTCACAGCCACAGACATCGAGATAAAAATGTTTTGATAAACATTATAGGGTCGATGAATTGAGAATTATTTTTGTGGAGCACAACTCATATTTGTTTGGTAACTAAATAACCTTAATCTTCCCATGCATGTATTTGCGGTTATAAGTGGTATATAATATCAACTAAAATATTGGTGGATATAAGTTGTATCAAATGATCGTGGTGGGGTATGCCACAAGTTTTGGAAGACATTAAGTCTTAAGTAGTAGTACAATGTGGCGCGCAAGTAGGCCTAATCCATCTCACTAACAAAACATTTTTATTTGATGTAAACTTTATATCAAATCTTCAATTCACGATGTTTCTTCGTTTTTATTTATTTTGCTGTGTACATGGGAGCTTTTATTAAATAGAAAAACTTACAAGTCCAAAATGCAACTGAAACATTTGTATTTAGATCAGGATAGTAACTGTTTGCAGGAAGCGTAGAAACGATCCACAAGGTGTATTGTTGTCCAGGACTTAGACCAGTGACATCTCCACCAGTAGAACTTGCTGTAATTGGGGCTAAAGAGCCAACTTGTATTTTATAATTGACATTGGCAGGGATTCCAGCGTTTATTGACCAGGTTATGTAGATGGAGCTGGTTGTTCTACTTTGTACAGATGGAGTTTGTACTTGGAGCTGTGTAACTGGTGTGAATATAAAGTAATGTCAACCGAACACTCTTTTAATGTTTACATTTATCTCTTCTAAAACCATGAAAGCTATAACCAAGCATTGAATAAAAAATATCTTACTTGGAGTACATCCGCTGGTTTGTGTATAATATAAACCATCTCGACAAAGACACTTTTTGCCACTATTTTTGTAGTCTATACATGAAAACAGTTCTTCACAATCAAAGTCTGTACTACATTCTTGGCTATGCACTTTCACTGAAATGTTTATGAAACACATTTGCCAAACGTTCAAAAAAAATTAGAGACGTTTTACACCTTTAGCCGGCAGTCTCAATTACTCTTTCTTCCTAATAAACACATTAGGTCTGCATGGATTTTTCATTGTTTAAAATTAATTTATGAATAGGGCAAGTTTTAGGGTTATGGCTTCCCCTACGTTAATAATACGTTTTTTGAGTGAGTGGCGTATTTACCATGAGGGTGAGGGTGGAAATTGATGGTGTAATTGCAAGAAGGTAATGGACGAGTAGGGGGTGTAAGTTACAGGATGCATTTTTTAGAATCATAGTGTCTGAGTTAGGGAAAGAAATACTGAAACTTTTCTTAATGTGCTCTTAAGGAGTTATTTCTTCGCACAAATTATCTAAACTAAATAATTTTTAAATCTTTTAATTGTAACTTCCATAAATAACAATATATGTGATGCTACATTTAATCTTTAAATATTTAAGATACAAATAAATAAATGCCTAATTATGTTATACCCTTTTGATTTTACTAGTGTATAGAATCTCGTAGAATGCCATTTTAAACGAAGAAACGTAGAAATATAACAAACTATAAAATTGCAAACAAAGTCCTGCTTGAGATATCTTAGTTATACGGCCTTTATTTGTTTTTATCAAATCGTATGTACTTTATATTGAAAAAAAAAAATTCATAAAAAACGTTTTAATAACAAGCTTTTATGTAATGATGCACTAAAAAGTAGAAAATAAATTATAGACTACTATTTAAATTACTATAAAGAAAAGCGTGGGTCACTTTAGTATCTATTGGATTCCTTTACTAATGTTATGGAAGACACCCACGCTTTTCTTTATAGTAATTTAAATAGTAGTCTATAATTTATTTTCTACTTTTTAGTGCATCATTACATAAAAGCTTGTTATTAAAACGTTTTTTATGAATTTTTTTTCAGTACTTTACATGTTTTATCTACAATAGAGTTACATGACTAAAAACCATTGCGCGCCTAATGAATATCACGTTCAGTAGGCGCGCAATGGTTTTTGAACGCAGCCATTACGTGGTCGTGATGGCGCAGCTATTGATGACGCGTGTGGTGTGGTTGGCTAGACATGCCTACTAATTAGGTCCAAATTTTAATTAATTCATAAAAAATCAATTAGGCTTCCAATTAAGTCAAATTTAGTTTCAGATTGCATTGTCTTCATGTCTTGACCCACGTGCCAACTGTGAATCGTATCGGTCAAGTAGAACTGTCCGAATTTTCACTCCTGCGTTTCCGTCTAGACTGACGACAGACAGAGGAAGTGAGTTAAATAAAAGCTTGTAAAAAAATTCATAAAAAACGTTTTAATAACAAGCTTTTATGTAATGATGCACTAAAAAGTAGAAAATAAATTATAGACTACTATTTAAATAACTATAAAGAAAAGCGTGGGTCACTTTAGTATCTATTGGATACCTTTACTAATGTTAAGGAAGACACCCACGCTTTTCTTTATAGTTATTTAAATAGTAGTCTATAATTTATTTTCTACTTTTTAGTGCATCATTACATAAAAGCTTGTTATTAAAACGTTTTTTATGAATTTTTTTTTCAGTACTTTACATGTTTTATCTACAATAGAGTTACATGACTAAAAACCATTGCGCGCCTACTGAATATCACGTTCAGTAGGCGCGCAATGGTTTTTGAACGCAGCCATTACGTGGTCGTGATGGCGCAGCTATTGATGACGCGTGTGGTGTGGTTGGCTAGACATGCCTACTAATTCGGTCCAAATTTTAATTAATTCATAAAAAATCAATTAGGCATCCAATTAAGTCAAATTTAGTTTCAGATTGCATTGTCTTCATGTCTTGACCCACGTGCCAACTGTGAATCGTATCGGTCAAGTAGAACTGTCCGAATTTTCACTCCTGCGTTTCTATCTAGACTGACGACAGACAGAATGACGAGGAAGTGAGTTAAATAAAAGCTTGTAAAAAATTCATAAAAAACGTTTTAATAACAAGCTTTTATGTAATGATGCACTAAAAAGTAGAAAATAAATTATAGACTACTATTTAAATAACTATAAAGAAAAGCGTGGGTCACTTTAGTATCTATTGGATACCTTTACTAATGTTAAGGAAGACACCCACGCTTTTCTTTATAGTTATTTAAATAGTAGTCTATAATTTATTTTCTACTTTTTAGTGCATCATTACATAAAAGCTTGTTATTAAAACGTTTTTTATGAATTTTTTTTTCAGTACTTTACATGTTTTATCTACAATAGAGTTACATGACTAAAAACCATTGCGCGCCTACTGAATATCACGTTCAGTAGGCGCGCAATGGTTTTTGAACGCAGCCATTACGTGGTCGTGATGGCGCAGCTATTGATGACGCGTGTGGTGTGGTTGGCTAGACATGCCTACTAATTCGGTCCAAATTTTAATAAATTCATAAAAAATCAATTAGGCATCCAATTAAGTCAAATTTAGTTTCAGATTGCATTGTCTTCATGTCTTGACCCACGTGCCAACTGTGAATCGTGTCGGTCAAGTAGAACTGTCCGAATTTTCACTCCTGCGTTTCCGTCTAGACTGACGACAGACTGTCGACTGACGACTTACGACAGAGGAAGTGAGTTAAATAAAAAGTAGAAAATAAATTATAGACTACTATTTAAATAACTATAAAGAAAAGCGTGGGTCACTTTAGTATCTATTGGATACCTTTACTAATGTTAAGGAAGACACCCACGCTTTTCTTTATAGTTATTTAAATAGTAGTCTATAATTTATTTTCTACTTTTTAGTGCGTCATTACATAAAAGCTTGTTATTAAAACGTTTTTTATGAATTTTTTTTCAGTACTTTACATGTTTTATTTTACAATAGAGTTAAATGACTAAAAACCTTTGCGCGCCTACTGATCATCACGTTCAGTAGGCGCGCAATGGTTTTTGAACGCAGCCATTACGTGATGGCACAGCTATTGAATGAAGGTGATGACGCGTGTGGTGTGGTTGGCTAGACATGCCTACTAATTCGGTCCAAATTTTAATTAATCCATAAAAAATTAATTAGGCATCCAATTAAGTCAAATTTAGTTTCAGATTGCATTGTCTTCATGTCTTGACCCACGTGCCAACTGTGAATCGTGTCGGTCAAGTAGAAGTTTCCGAATTTTCACTCCTGCGTTTCCGTCTAGACTGACGACAGACCGACGACAGAGGAAGTGAGTTAAATAAAAGCTTGTAAAAAAGTAGAAAATAAATTATAGACTACTATTTAAATAACTATAAAGAAAAGCGTGGGTCACTTTAGTATCTATTGGATACCTTTACTAATGTTAAGGAAGACACCCACGCTTTTCTTTATAGTTATTTAAATAGTAGTCTATAATTTATTTTCTACTTTTTAGTGCATCATTACATAAAAGCTTGTTTTTAAAACGTTTTTTATGAATTTTTTTTCAGTACTTTACATGTTTTATCTACAATAGAGTTACATGACTAAAAACCATTGCGCGCCTACTGAACATCACGTTCAGTAGGCGCGCAATGGTTTTTGAACGCAGCCATTACGTGGTCGTGATGGCGCAGCTATTGATGACGCGTGTGGTGTGGTTGGCTAGACATGCCTACTAATTCGGTCCAAATTTTAATTAATTCATAAAAAATCAATTAGGCATCCAATTAAGTCAAATTTAGTTTCAGATTGCATTGTCTTTATGTCTTGACCCACGTGCCAACTGTGAATCGTGTCGGTCAAGTAGAACTGTCCGAATTTTCACTCCTGCGTTTCCGTCTAGACAGACTGTCGACAGACTGACGACAGAGGAAGTGAGTTAAATAAAAGCTTGTAAAAACAACTTACCAGTCCAATACGTTAAAGTAACATTTGTATTTCGCTCACGATAGTAGCTGTCTGCAGGAAGTGTAGAAATGATCCACAAATTGTATTGTTGTCCAGGACTTAGACCAGTTGCATTCCCTCCAGTAGAAGTTGCTGTTACTGGGGCTAAAGAGCCAGCTTGTATTTTATAATTGACATTTGTTGAGCTACCAGAGTTCACTGACCAGGTTATGTAAACAGAGCTGGTTGTTCTACTTTGTACAGATGGGTTTTTAACTTGTAGCTGCGTAACTGGTGTGAATAGAATATTATTTTACCATTTCGATGCAATTTGTAATCGCTGCAACAATTTAGACTTGTGACTAACAAAGTATTGTATTTACCAGTTTCATGTACCCATTTTAAAGTGAAAAGCCTAATGTTTTTTTTATTAACAATAGCTTAAACAACATTGTTTTATTTTTATATGTATTAGTCACGGTTGCTTCACACCTACGATGCTACTGGTATTTTTTAACGACCCATAATTGATACTCTCAGAGTCCAATTAAAATAAAAATTTTGCGCCTCTATAGTATACTGGGTAGATAAGATATATAACATGTACCAATACAGTCGCTAAATAGAATGCTTCATGCATTAAAAATAAAGAACAACTCGTAAATTGCATCTTTACAGTTCGGTGATGGTAAAAATTGTCCATTTTTATTACATGCACATAATCATCCTCTTCACGTTAGAACATTAAAATATCCGTATATCAATTCCATTGGAATTATTTGCTGTTTATTTTTTACTAAAGATACGTATTTGAAAAAACGTCTTACCTGAATAGCAACTATTTGGTGACGTGAAATAATTGCTTTCAGCACATAAGCAACGTTTGATATTATTTGTGTCATTTCTGCACT